TTAATTTTTATTTATTTATTTATTTATTTATTTATTATTTATTTGTTTATTTATTTATTTTTTTATTTATTTATTTATTTATTTATTTATTTTGTTTGTTCGTTTGTTTGATTTGCTTTGAATTTGGTCCATGCGAGATATCTACCAGAAACAGCATTCCAGCGAATTCCCTAAACCCTAAACCCTAAACCCTAAACCCCAAACCCTAAACCCTAACCCCGAAAGCCTAACCACTAAACCCCAAATTTCAGCGCTGTGCCCCTAAAACCTAAACTCTAGCCCTTAACCCGTAAACCCCAGCCCCAAAGCCCATCCCCTAAACCCTAAACCCTAAACCCTAAACCCTAAACCCTAAACCCTAAACCCTAAACCCTAAACCCTTGCCTGTCCAGTCTGCCTGGCCTCTGTGTCGAAGAGCTTCACAGTGGCCTCGTTCTGCAGCTGCAGCGCCAAGGGTTTTAAGTACAAGTCCCCAGCTCCCACGAGGGTTGTTTCTGGAAAGGGTTCGAAAAAAGGGTTTTCTTCATCAGTTAATCCTGAAAACAAATGCATTTTAGTTCAATTTGCTTTGCTGCAGCAGCAGCAGCAGGAGTTGCTGCTGCCGCTGCGCTGGCAGCTGCAGCTGCTGCTGCTCAGTAATTTGGTCGCTTTTGTTTCGGCGTTTTTTCTTTGCTAGCGCTGCAGCAGCAGCTGCAGCAGCAGCAGCAGCAGCAGCAGCGGCTGCAGCGCTGCCAGCAGCAGCAAAGGCAACAGAGGCAGCAACAGCAGCAGCAGCCGCACTGCAGCAGCAAAGAGCCACATGGCAGCGACAGCTGCAACAGCAGCAGCAACGACAGCAGCAACAGCAGCAGCAGCAGAAGACGCGGCAACTACAGCAGCAACGAATAAAGCAGCTAGATGCAGCAGCAACAAACTATCGAGCAACTGCAGCAGAAACAACATGCCAAGCAGTTGCAGCAGCAAAAAACTACGTAGCAGCAGCAACAACAGAAGTCGGGACAGCTGCAGCAGCAACAGCAACTGCAGCAGCAAATAACTAGGCGGCAGCAGCAACAAACTAAGCAGCAACAGCAACGGCAAGAGGAACAGGAAACAATGCAAAAGCAGCAGCAGCAGCAGCAGCAGCAGCTGGAGCAGAAACTGCATCAAAACTAGCAGCAGCAGCAGAAGCAATAGCAAAACACTAAGCACCAACAACACTAGCATCCGCAGCAGCAGCAGCAGCAGCAGCATCCGCAGCAGCAGCAACATCCGCACCCGCAGCAGCAGCAGCAGCAGCAGCAGCAGCAGAGCAGCAGCAGCAGCAGCAGCAGCAGCAGCACCTGCGAGGAAGGCGTTGGGGTCTGGGGCTTCGAGCCACTTGTCGAAGAGTTCCCTCATGAGGATGAGGCGGTCTTCGAAAGCAGCAGCAGACCAGCAGCAAATTCGAAAACCCTTCAGCAGCAAAGAGACACTCACGACTGTCTCCTTTTTCTTCACTGACACGCGAGTCTGCAGCAGCGGGCAGCACTCGTAGTCCAGCCCCAGCTCCGCAGCTATCACGTTGGCCTCCCGCAGCAGCGGCAGCAGCTGCAGCGCAGCAGCAGCAGCAGCAGCAGCAGCAGCAGCAGCAGCACAGCAGCAGCAGCAGCAGCAGCAGCAGCACAGCAGCAGCAGCAGCAGCAGCAGCGAAGGCGGAGGCGCACGCGGTTCAGCTTCTTGCGGCACGCGGCTCTCCCAGAGCGCCCCAGGGCCAAGTGGAGAACCTGCTTTCAAGAACTTGCTGCGGCCTAGGGTTTAGGGTTTACGGTTTAGGGTTTGGGGTTTAGGGTTTAGGGTTTAGGGTTTAGGGTTTGGGGTACTCTGGAGAGCTGCTCGTTGAGCAGCATGAGGTCGCCCTCCTCTTGTCTTCTTTTGAGTTCTTGAATTTCAAGTTGTCTTTTTTCTGTCTCCAACTTTTTTTGTTCATTTAAAAATTCTTCTTTTACTTTCTGCAGCTGCTCCTCATTGTGCTTCTGCTCAAGAGCCTGCAGCTTTGCTTCGTACTCCTGCAGCAGCAGCAGCAGCAGCAGCAGCAGCAGCAGGGGTCGCCGTAGCAGCGCAGCAGAATGCCAGCAGCAGCAGCAACAGCAGTGGGCATGGCAGCAGCAGCAGACGCAGCCGACAGGGCGGCAGCAGCAGCAGCGGCAGCAGAAAAGGCAGCAGCAGGAGCCACAGACAGCAGGAGCAGCAACAGATAAAGCAACAGCAGCAGCAGCAGCGGATGAGGCAATCACAGCAGCAGCAGCAGCAGATAAGGCAGCTGCAGAAGCGCCAGGTAAGTCAACCACAACACAAGCAGGATATAAGGCCATCACAGCAGCAGCAGCAGCAGCAACAGCAGCAGCGCAGCAAAAGAAAAAGGAGCACAAGCAGGAGAAGCAGCAGCAGCAACAGATAGCGCAGCAGCAGCAGCAGAAAAGGCGATCGCAGCAGCAGCAGCAGCAAGAGCAGCAGCCAAGGCCCTCTCAGCAGCAGCAGCTGCTGCTGCAGCAATCGCAGCAGCAGCTGCAGCAATCGCAGCAGCAGCAGCAGCAGCAGGAGCAGCAGCAGCAGCAGGAGCAGCAGCAGCAGCAGCAGCAGGACCTCTTTTTGTTTTTGGAGTGCCTCATCAGCCTCCTTGAGTTTTTGTTTGTACTTGGACCTTTCGAGGGTTTCGAGTTCGATTTGTTTTCCAGAGTTTGTTGCAGTGAGCAGCGCGCCTTTGCTGCTGCTGACTTCCTCCATTGCTGCAGCAAAAGAAGCAGCAGCAAGAAGTTTGCTGCGTGTGGGGCCCCACAGCTGCGGTACGTACACCAGAAAGGCGTAGCTCTGGCCCACGACCACGCGGTCGCCGCACTGCAGCAGCACTTTTTCTCCTTTTTGCAGTTCTTTTCCGTTCAAAAAAGTGCCTTTTTCGCCTTCCAGCGCCTCGATAAATAGTCCATTTGCGTCCTTTTCCGACTCTTTTCCGTTTGCTGCTGCTGCTGCTTCGTTTGCTGCTGCTGCTGCTGCGTCTGCTGCTGCTGCTGCTGCGTCTGCGGCTTTTCTGGGGCTCCCAGCAGCTCCGGAAGCCTCGAAATAGATGCTGCAGTGTCTGCTGCTGACTGTGGGGCCCGACAGCAGCAGCACCGTCTCCGCCTGCTGCTGCTGCTGCTGCTGCTGCTGCTGCTGCTGCTGCTGCGTCTCCTTTGCTGCTGCCTGCTGCGCTGCTGCTGCTTCCTGCTGCTGCTCTGCTGCTTCTTTTGTCTTTCTTTTTATCAACAACTTCCCGGGAGCAGCAGGAATGGCCATGGAAAAAGACCCCGAGAGAAGAGGGTCTTCATTCAACAAAGTTATGTGACACACCTTCTCCCAGTCAGGCCCTGATCGCACAAACCCTAAACCCTAAACCCTAAACCCTAAACCCTAAACCCTCCATCTCCCTCTTTGGCGGGGCTGCGAGCCGAGCCAGTTTCGCTGCTGCAGCAGTTCTGCCGCCGCCCCTGCCGCTGCTGCTGCTGCTGCAGTGCTGCTACCGCCGCCGCCGCCGCCGCTGCTGCTGCTGCTGCTGCTGCTGCTGCTGCTGCTGCTGACCTGCTTGCTGCTGCTGCAGCTTGGCGTGGGCCTCCTTCAACTTGTCTTCCCAAGACTTTTGCATTTCTGCAATTGCATTTTCCATGGCTTTTATTTCTTCTTCGTGGGCCCTCTGCAGCGCGAGGGTTTCTTCCGCTGAAGGCGCGGGCCCCTCCAGGGGGCCCTGGCCTGAACACACTCAAACCCTAAACCCTAAACCCTAAACCCTAAACCCTAAACCCTAAACCCTAAACCCTGAACCCTAACCCTAAACCCCAAACCCCAAACCCCAAACCCCAAACCCCAGCGCTAAACTCCAAACCCCAAACCCCAAACCCCAAACCCCAAACCCCAAACCCAAACCCAAACCCCAAACCCCAAACCCTAAACCCTAAACCCTAAACCCCAGGCCGCGGCGGCGTTGGTCGGACCATCGAGGAGTTTCTTGAGTTTGGCGTTTTCTTCCTGGAGTTCCCGAATGAGTTTCTGGACAGGATCTTCATTGACAACAGCTTTATTTTTTATATTCTTCGCTCTATCTGCATATCTCAAAGTGCTCAAACTTTCTTCATAATTGCTGCTCGCCGGAGACAGAGCGCAAAGCATTATCGTTTTGCTGCTGCCCCCGAGCGCGTTCTGCAGCAGCCGCGTCAGTTTGCTGTCCCTATAGGGTATAACGAGGGGGGCCCCCCTGGGCCTCCGCGAGGGCACTAATTACGTTGCCTAGGGCCGAAAGGGACTTGTTGATTGCACATCCCTCTTTGAGTCTGGCGCCTTCGGCTCCGGTTTTGTTGGCTTTTTCAGATCCGGCCAAATCGACTAAGTTGATGACGCTGAGTTGGCGGCCTTGGTGGCCTTTGAAGGAAGTCAGCTGCAGCAGCTCGATGCAGGTCACCGTGTGCGCCTGCAGCAGCAGCAGCAGCAGCAGCAGCAGCAGCAGCAGCAGCAGCGCAGCAGCAGGGTTTAGGGTTTAGGGTTTGGGGGGCGGGGGGCGGGGGGAGTGCTTGGATGGGTCCTGCGGTTCTGGTTTTTGTTGCTCGCGCTGGTTTGCTGTTTCGGCTTTTCGAGTTTGCTTAGGGTTTAGGGTTTAGGGTTTAGGGTTTAGGGTTTAGGGTTTAGGGTTTTTATGTTGTTTTGGTTGATGAATTGGCTAATTGCTTCTGGTTGTGAAGTGCACGCAAAAGGGGAAAAGTCCCTTTTGGGGTTTTTGAGGGTTTAATACCACTTGTGAAAATTGAAATTGAAATTAAAAATAATTCTTTTTATCAAAATTATAAATTTAAAATAATTCTTTTTATCAAAATTATAAATTTAAAATAATTCTTTTTCATTTTCAATTCAATTAAAAATAATTCTGTCCTTCTAAAGAAACCCACGCGGCTGCTCGTCGCGTTCATCAGCGTGGCGCCGACTGAGACGCAAACAAACCACATATCAGGGTTTAGGGTTTAGGGTTTAGGGTTTAGGGTTTAGGGTTAAGGGTTTAGGGTTAAGAGCTTAGGGTTTAGGGTTTGGGGCTAAGAATTGCAAAGGGCGCCTCTGCTGTGAGACGCAAAAGCGACGAAAACCGCAGCCATTCTTGCTTCTGCTGACACAAACCCTAAACCCTAAACCCTAAACCCTAAACCCTAAAAACGAACTTGTTCTGTTTGCAGTTCCTTTGTCAGTGACTGCTTGGATTTCTTCGTAAGAAGAGACTGCAATCTTTGTCAACCCCTCAACATAAACTCCGAGCTGCTTCGACTCTCTAAAACAGAAACCACAAATTAGGGTTTAGGGTTTAGGGTTCAAGCTTTAGGCTTGAGCACCAGCTAATGAAGCCGGCTTGGCTGCTCCAAAAAGAAAGCAACAATAAGAAAGACAGAGCGATGCACAGCGAGAGTCAAACTCTAAACCCTAAACCCTAAACCCTAAACCCTAAACCCCAAACCCTAAACCCCCTAAAACCCCCAAACAAGACCCTAAAAATCCTAAAGGGCCCTTTAGAAACCCTGAAAAGCCCCCAACTTCCCGTAAACGCCTCAGAAGTTTCCCAAAACCCTAAAGCCCCCCAAACCCTCGCGAGCCCCTCCCCCGCAAACCCTAGAAGAGCGCAAACCCCCAAGTGGAGAGCCCGCGCAAAACCCTAATTTAGGGTTTTTGGAGTACCGGATGTTGAGCCCGGCCTTGGGCCGCTCGCTGGGGCTGATGAGAAGGTCTTGAACAGTTTCATTATAAATCTCGAGCAAACTAACAGTAACCTCATAGCTCTTGCTCTGCTGCTCCTCCTCGCCGCCCCCGCTGCTGCTGCTGCTGCTGCTGCTGCTGCTGCTGCTGCTGCTGCTGCTGCTGCGGATGCGGGCGAAGATCTCGCGGCAAGCCGTGGGGACGATCCCGGGATCGTCTCCGTACCCCACAACGGAGTAACTCTTGCCAGCCCCCGTCTGGCCGTAGGCAAACAAACAAGTGTGGAAGCCCTCCCAAGCTGCTGCGAGGAGTTGCTGGCCGAGGGCCTCGAAGACCCTTTTTTGGTCCACAAAGGGGGCCCCCGGGAGGGCCCTGAGGGCCCCCGAGGGGCCCACCTCGAAGCCATCATGGGACCAGAAGGAGTAGTCAAAGGTGAAGGTCCGAGGCTCCCTGCTGCTGCTGCTGCTGCTGCTGCTGCTGCTGCTGCTGCTGCTGCTGCTGCTGTCCAGGTCCAGCAGCGTCGTGCTGCTGCCGCTCATCGAGATGCAGCAAACGCTGCCCATCGCCTCTTCGCGCGCGTTGAAGGGGCGCACCCGCACGGCCACTTTCACGCGACTCATTCTGAAGTTAATAATAAATAAATAAATAAATAAATAAATAAATAAATAAATAAATAATTAATTTATTTATTTATTTATTTATTTATTAGTATATAAATAAATGAATTAATAAATAAGTGAATAAATAAATCAACTAGTAAATAGATGAATAAATAGGTGTATAAATTGATAAATTAATTAGTAAATTAATCAATAAGTAAAAAAATGAATAAATAAATTGATAAATAACTAAATAAATAAATAAATAAATAAATATATCTCTTTATTTCTTTATTTATTTCTTTATTTATGTATTTATTTATTAGCTGATTAATAGTTGGATTTAATTAATTAATTGGGTGTGTGAGGGGTGAGGGGAAAAGTGGAAGAGAAGGGGAATGGGGAGAAGAGAACTGGAGAGATTAAATTAGAAAGAATTTTATTTTATGAACTGATTTAATTTAATTAATTTAATTAATTAATTAAATTAACTAATTTAATTAATTAATTTAATTAATTAATTTAATTAATTAATTTAATTAATTAACTTAATTAATTAGTTTGATTAATTAATTTAATTAAGTAATCAAACTAATTAACTAAATTAATTAATTAATTTGATTAATTAGATATATTAAACCAATTAAGTAAAGTAAATTAAATGATTAACTAAATCCAATTTACTAAATATGTTCAAATGTTAAAGTGCAATCAGTTGGTTAAAGAAATATTAGATATTAAATAAAATACAAATTAATCTAAAACAGATTAAATCAATAAAAACTAATTTAATGAAAAAGAATAACTAAATGAAATCAAATAATTAATTAAATAAAACTAATTAAAAAAAAAATATGATTAAGAATATGATTAGTTAAACAAATAATATTAATTGAACAAATGGGAATAAACAAATAAATAGGAACAATTAAATAAATAAGAATAATTAAATAAATAAGACTAATTAAATAATAAGATTAATTAAATAATAATAAGATTAATTAAATAAATAAGATTAATTAAATAAATAAGATTAATTAGATAGATAACAAATCCTAAAAAAAGTAAAAAAAGGAGACAAAAAATAACAAGGAGAATAAAAGGAGACAAAGAGGAAACTAAAAAGAAACAAAAAAGAAATGAAAAGGGAAATAAAAAAGGGAATAAAAAAGGAAATAAAAAGGAAATAAAGAGGAAATAAAAACGAAACAAAAAGGAAATTAAAATGAGACAAAAAAGAAACAAAAGTGAGAAAAAAGGGAAATCAAGAGGAGGCAAAAGAGAAACAAAAAAGAAACAAAAAAAACAAAAAAGAAACAGAAAAGAAACAAAAAAGAAACACAAATGAAACAAAAATGAGAGAAAAAAGAAACAAAAGAAAGACAATAAAGAGACAAAAAGGAGATTAAAAGGAGACAAAAAAGAAACAAAAGAGAAACCAAAAAGAAATAAAAAAGAAATAAAAAAAACGAAAAAAAGAAACCAGTGTACGTACACCCGAGGCTAGTGAAGGGCCTTTTCAGAGCTTTTATTTTAAATAATTTCAAATCGTTTTATATTAATTTAAATTTTTTTAATTCTTTTTTAATTCCATTTAATTCTTTTTAATGGTTTTAATTCCTTTTAATTCTTTTAAATTCTTTTTCAGTCTCAGGGCTGCTAGGGTTTCTTCAGTGTTTACCTTTTTTTATTTTTATTTCTTTTTTTTCTTCTCTTATTTTAGTATTTTATTTCTTTCTTTTTTCATTTTTCCATTTTTATTTTTACGATTTTATCTTTCTTTTGTTTCTTTTTATCTTATTTGTCTCTTCAGTTATTATTAATTCTTCCAATATCTTTTAATTTGCTTTTCCGTTATTGCCATTTAATTAATTTCGTTTTTTAATTTTATTTTTGCTTCTTTTTACTTCTTTCTCATTCCTTATTTTGTCTGTCGTCTCTTTATTTATTTCTTTTTAAATTTAATCTTTTCCTTCTCTTTTTCTTCTTTTTATTTATTTACTTTCTAAATTGTCTTTTATTTCTTTTTATCTTTTCCACTTTTACTGACAAATCGTATTTGTTTATTTGTTTCTAATTCATTTATTTTCTAATTTATTTATTTATTTCTTTTTATCTTTTCCATATTAATTTCGTTTTCTTTTTCTCACTTCAATTCTTTTCTTCTTTTTTTCCTTTTACTTCCCTTGTTGCTCCTGAAAGCAATTAAAGTCTTTTTCTTTTTTCTTTTTCTTTTTCTTTTTCCAATCTTCTTTTAATCTTCGTTTATCCTTCTTTTAATCTTCTCTTAATCTTCTCTTAATCTTCTTTTAATCTTCTTTTAATCCTCTTGTTAATCTCCTTTTAATGTCCCTTTAAAGTCCTTTTTATTTCCTTTTTAATTCCTTTTTATATCTTTTTTGTTTCTTTTTAATCTTCCTTTTGTTCCCTTTTTTAACCTTTTTTTATTTTCTTTTTTCCCCTTTTGTGTCTTTTTGTCTCCAAATGAAATTCCTCTTTTGAATTTCCTTTTTGTCTATCCAAAGTCTTAATTTGAAAATGTTTGTTTTTATTTTATTTCTTTTTAATCTTTTTTAATTCTTTTAATTTCTTTTTTTATTTTTTATTTTCTCCTTTTTGTCCTTCCTTTGTCTTTCTTTGTTTCCTTTTTTTTTCTATAATGGACTTCTCCTTTGTGTCTTTCATTTAATTCAAATTCTAGCTTTTAGTTTTCTTGCTCAAAATAACGTATTTGCTGCAGGCAGCAGCAGCAGCAGCAGCAGCAGCAGCAGCAGCAGCAGCAGCAGCAGCAGCAGCAGCAGCAGCAGCAGCGCGGGTTGCGCCTTTTTGCGTATCTTCTGCCCTTCCTTTTTCTTCTAATTATTAATTTAATTGAATTAATTTATTTTATTTTTTAATTCATGCAGTTCGAAAATCTCCGCAGAAACAAATCTCCAAAAGCACTCTTTCCCCTTCTCGCTGCTTCGATCCAGCCCCAAACGCATGCATGCATGCATGCATGCATGCATGCGTTTGGGGCTGCATGCGCGCATGCAACTGGGGCTGGATTTTCTGGAATTTCCGGTGAAATTTCTTCAAAAAGCTTTTAATTGTTTGGCATTTCATTTTTAATTTATTTATTTCTTTTTTCTCTTTTCAAATTCCCACGGGGGGCCCCTGCAGCAGCAGGGGGCCCCCGCAGCAGCAGCTGGGGCCCGGGGGCCCCTCGAAATAGATTTCTGGAAAAATATATTTCTTGTTTGTTTTTCGCGGATTTCATTTCAAATTTGTTCATTTATTTATTTATTTTTTATTTATTTGTTCATTTCTTCTTTTATTTTCCACTTTTCTTCCATTTATTTCAATTTTCCCCTCCCGCTGCTTCCACCGCCGCCGCCAGCGGCAAACCGCGCAACTATCAAAGGAAATATATAAATAAATAAATAAATAAACAAATAAATAAATAAATAAATAATAAATAAATATATAAATAAATAAATAAATAATAAATGAATAATTAAAATTTAAATGGATTAAGCCAACAGATTTAACCCGAGCGGGCAGCTCCAAGTCCCACAGACAGAAGCGCCCGCGCCCTCAAGGGTTTAGGGTTTAGGGTTTAGGGTTTAGGGTTTAGGGTTTAGGTGATGTTTAACACCAAACTTAATGGCGTTACTTCCTACAATGAAGCCGCAGCAGGCTTC